CTCTATTATTAATTTTCCGGACCCCATCCCTTCTTGTGTTGGTGACTTTCCAAAACAATGCATTCCACAGATAATTTCCTGTTCCTGTGCTTCACTCGTCCGTATTTGGCACTGATAGCATAAAGTGGGGATGAAGTTGCTCTCAATTATTTTCTGTTTTGCTGGCAGGGAGACATTTAGTGATCTGAGCATGGGGCTGTCTAATAGGGGACAGCATTTGGATTTTATATCTCTGTCGCAGGATCCTAGCATGGGGCTAACAATAAGGTAACAGTATTCGGATTCTATCTCTCTCTGGCAGGATCTGAGCATGGGGGTGTCCAATAGGTGGCAGCATTTGGATTCTATCTCTCTGTCGCAGGATCTAAGTAATGGGAGCTAGCTAATAGGCGACAGCATTTGGATTATATCTCTCTGTCGAGCCTGCCATCTTCTATATACATATATATATATATATATATATATATATATATATAATATATATATATATATATATATATATATATATATATACATGGCTTTTTTGATTCATGTACTTGTTTGATTGTAGTCCCATTGACATAAACGCTCATATTATTATCTTTCTAACCCATTTTGAGTAACTCATTTTATCATGTTTATTTTCCTGTGATACTTTTTGCAGCTATGATACAAGAAAAGAAGTTGCTGTGATATTGTAGTTCCTGTTCTTGTTGGTGTGTTAACACTGATGTCTGTTAAAAAGTAGTTCATTGGTTTCTTTAGTGTCTGCATTGCCACATGTGTAGTGTTAACTATACGGTACTAATAATTAGGTATTATTCAGAGTGGTTGTTGTCAAAATTACACACATAATCCTTTAAATGAATTGTATGTTCTTATTTCAGTTTTGGCTTTTGCGAGAAAGATGTTTATGAAAAGCAAGGCTCCCATCAACCAATCGGCCATTATGGAAATGGGTTCAAATCTGGCTCCATGCGTATTGGAAATGATGCCCTGGTCTTCACCAGATGCCCAAAGAGTGCCAGCATCGGCTTTTTGTCACAGACTTACCTGACGTCCACTCAAGCAGACTGTGTTCTAGTGCCCATACTGGAGTACCGACTGCCAAGCTATATCCTTTGTTTTCTTTAATATTTTGTCTTAGGACCCCTTTTTTTACTAGTATATCGGGCATATGGTGCTATATTCATATTTGTATAGACCAATGAGCGCTGATGGGTGATGTGGCCATCACCACATCTGTTGCCTTTACTTCCCATAATATTATCTGGTATCCATTTTAGACTGGGTCAGCTTGGGAGCTTATGTCAGTTTTGAAAACAAAATCTTCCTGTGTGGGTTCTGGGGCCCCATTTTAGTTGGGTTGGAGAAATAGACCCGATGCCCCTTTACAAGCATGTTGTAAAAGTTGACTTATTAAGGGTTTGCTGAATATTGAGATAAAAGCCTCAAGATATTGCAGCTTAGCTGTAAACCACACAAAATTGTGCCACCATCCTTTGGAGAGTGAAAGAAGAAGAAAATGTTCCTCCTAATCCATTTAACAAATCTGACTGCAGACTGCATAGTCATATAGGTTGCCCTTAACCACCTGTCACTAGAACGTATCAAGAGTCAGGAGTCACGAAACAACCTGAATGCCATCCTACAGTACTCTGTGTTCAAGCTAGAAAGTGAACTCAAGGAAGAACTCAAAGCCTTGGAAGGCTCTAAAACTGGAACCAAAATTATCCTTTATAATCTAAAAAAGTAAGTATTATTTATAAGTTATAGGTTTTGTTTTGAAATATCATTTGTCAGCAGTCATTTTGTTTTCTGATTTATTAACTGGAAAAATCGATATTAATAAATACCCAGGTTTTGTCTTGATACATTTAGGCTGCAGGATAACACTTTTGAACTAGACTTTGCCAGTGATCCAACTGATATCAGGTGCCCAGAAGCCCATGAAGTGGACGCTACATCTGTCTACCATAGACCAATCCAACAGAATGTCTCAGAATACAAACGGTCGCTGCGGGTAAGTACTCATGGAGCTTATTTAATTTTGCAAGTGTATGTAATCTGAAGATTAGATTCTGTGCTGTGGAAACAAAAAAAAAATATATAACTGTTATAGAAGGTGGAAATGGACCGAAAGGGATTTTTTAAAAAAAAATAGAGTATTTGACCAGACACATTTTTTTAAATGTTAAAGCAGCATTTTGAGAAAGCATTAAAATATGGATATAGCACCATATGCCCTGGCTTGGAAAGGGACCTTACTTTCTCAGACTGTTCTTGTGGTTTTCAGACAGTGGTACAAGAGTCGCACTATGGAAGAGATTGGGGTCTTAGCTTGTAATATCCTATTGTTGTCAGGAGATACACTCCCACTATCCTCTGTTGTAGAGACGGTACAGTTTTCATTAGTCAGCTAATTTATTTACAAAAAGGAAGGCAAGCTCAGAAAACATTTACCCAGAGAAGTCTTACGTATTGACCAGAATATAGAAGCTGTTCTGTAGCGTTGCTGCGTCAAATGAATGATGAGAAAGATAACTAGTAAAAAATTTATTAGAATTAATCCTTGAATAATATTTTTCAAAATTTTATCGCATTTATAATTTTCTATGGTTTTTCTTCTTTTAAGGAATATTGCAGCATTTTATTTCTGCGGCCGAGAATGAAAATAACAATCAGAGGTGTGCGAGTCAAATCAAAATTGATTTCCAAGTCATTGTCGAACACGGAAATTGATATGTATAAACCCACGTGGCTGGTGAGTTTTAAGTGTATTCCTAGCTGTTATTAACTTTTTTAGTCGCAAACAACTTAGCTAAATTGAATAGCGAAGAAAATATTAGTACAGCTTACAGTAGAATGCAGCAAGCCTTGTCAGTGTTAGAGGAAAAGTCAAAAACATTGCTAGTGAATATCAGTGAAGAGAAAACAACATGCAAAAAACAGCCAGTTAAGCTAGTGCTAAATAGATAAATACTACCTCAAGAGAAAAATCCAAAATGTCTTATATTTGTCGTCCCCATGTGGGTTGCAATTTTTCTTTATTTGATGCCCCACCCTGGCTTCTGCCCAGGGGCCTAGATATGGCGCAACGGCTGAAGGGGGTTTCTGGGACCTCTCCAGGGTGATCCTCATCAGCATGGTGGCACTTTGTGTCACTGGTTGTTTATCGCTTGTGTAATGTGCTGGTGGGGTACAACAAGCAAGCAAAAATCCAAAATACTGAGGTGACATGAAAGACACAGGTGGCAGCAAGTTGAACAAAAGCAAAGCAGAGAATGGCAGTCATGAAAAAGCTTGCTGGTACAACATGGGTAGCTGATGAGAAAGTTCTCAGGAAGCTATACACTGGACGAGTAATTCCAATCCATGAAAATAGTATTGCAGCATAGGCAGCTGTAGCTAAGTTAAACTTGATCAAAATCAAGGAATGCGAATTATAGGTGGGGCAATGAAACTGCCTATTAACTAAAAAAGATCACAGGTCTGCAATCAGTTGAAGTTAGAGGAATCAGTGGAACTCGGCAACAAGCAGAAACATTTAGAAGGCTGTCAAAGGTTTAATGGTCTAGGAAGACCAGTACGCAAGTAACACCTGGTCTTGTGCACATACAGATGGATCAGTAAAAAACTCAACAGAAAGTAGTGAATGTAGGGGAATTGTCCAGAATCTGAAAAATGGATCAAAGAAAACAGTCGGTTACAACTGGACAATTCTGAAGTAATTTTAATGAAGACCCAGAGGACTTGAAAACCAGCACAAGTGCTTTTGTCAGAGACAGATGAAGAGAAACACATAGCTATCTAGGGAAAACAAGAATAGACCCCCTGTCTACCCAGAAGCATGTCATAAGAGTTGACTAATTGGGAGCTTCCTTTGAAGTCAGAGTGCATCTGCCCGAGAGGCAAGGAACCAACAGTATGCACACAAATGTGTCAGATCTGTCAATGGATGCACACGCAACACTCAGGTTTTTGGAACAGGACTGCAGTCCTGAAGTGGACAAACAACCAGAACTTTCCACCGGAGTTTACAGCTGGTGAACGCAAAGAAGAAGAAGTCACAGTACGGAAGAGCAAAATGATACAGAGCTAAATATATGGAAGTGAGGTTAAACAGTCAGGAGCAGGATGTGATGATTCCTTGGGTGAGCCCAATACCAGAGCACCATTTATTGGCTCTGCATTTATGGAAGCCTCCTCGGACGGCAGGAAATGCTTATGTTCTGCCTCTGCCATCTTTTAAGGGATAACCAGCATGATGTATCTTCTCTGGACCGGCCTGATGTGGGGCACCACCTGTGACCTCGGAAACATAGAAGACCACACAACAATGAGACTGCAGTATCCCACAAAACTAACCGGGAAGGCTAACCCAGTCAATAAATGCCTGCAGAAGTCAGGCTGAAGGGTGCAAATATTGCAGCCATGCTGTGAACGGGCACAATGCAATAACATCTTCAGATGAATGCAGAAGAAGACATCTTATTTAGTGAATATCATTGTTAGATTGTTTTTACCAGTTCCATCCAATGAAAATCCTGTTTCTTTATGCCTGCATTTGCATCTATATGAATAAGATAATGTATGAAAGCAGGGAGATTAGAAGGGCAGGTTGTTAGACGGGCCCGCGTGCCCAGTTCTGATCCCTTTGAAAATTAAGTTTGTTCGTTTGTTCTCATCCAGTGAAAATCATTGTTGCATATGCTTGTTTCCCAGTCTCGTCAGGTAAAAATCATTACTGCATCAGCTTGTTTCCTAGTATCATCCGGTAAAAATCATTATTGCATCTGCTTGTTTCCTATTATCATCCAGTAAAAATTATTTTTACATCAGCTTGTTTTCTAGTATCATCCAGTAAAAATCATTATTGCATCTGCTTGTTTCCTAATATCCGGTAAAAATCATTATGCATCTGCTTGTTTCCTAGTATCATCCGGTAAAAATAATTTTTGCATCTGCTTGTTTCTAGTATCATCCAGTAAAAATCATTATTGCATCTGCTTGTTCCCCAGTCTCGCCCGGTGAAAATAATTTTTGGATTTGCCTGTGACTCCCAGCGGCCAGAAGAAAGTGACTATGGAATGATGCTGTATCACAGAAACAGACTTATCAAGGCTTTTGAGAAAGTTGGATATCAGAGACAGGTTTGTAGAGTACATCTTACTGTCTCGCAAATGATATTATTGTCACTGAGCTCTTATTCGAACTGGGATTACAATAGCACAGTGGCTCATATTTGCCTGTCAGCCTCAAGTAGGGTTGCCAGATACTCGGTTTTCCTCAGGTTCCTCTGGGTTTTTTTGGTTCCCCCCTCACCCACCTGGATTTTGTTCCTATGGACTAAATTAACATGTTATTATATATATTTGTAGCCTTTTAGTGAATGTTGAATGAAAAATCGACATCACTGCACTCGGGGCACTCCTATAAGTGCTCAGTCCCCATCTTCAGCAGCAAGTGAAGAGTTCCAACTCCGATGGTGGCAGTAACCGTCATCCTTCCCCAGAGTTTTGAGCATCGGCCAGATCCCCTGGTAACTCCTCGCAGCATCATTCTCCTCAGACCATAATGATCCATCTGCACATCTGCACTGTTCACCTGTTCCCAAAGGGCCCTAACAATATCTAACTTGTCATACATTAGTTCACCCCCAGTGGTGCAGAGCCAGCCAGTCTATCTGCCTGCTCATTTCCCTACACACCAGCATGACCTGGAGAAAATATCCAAAGGATGCTAACTACCCGGGACCTCTGAAGTGATGCCTGCCACTCAACATGAAGCATGCTGTGTGAGTCAGTTATAATCACGACATGTGTGTACAGCTGATTCTCAAGCAGCTTTTTAGTGAAAAATATTATTAAAAAAAACAGTTTGCCATCACTCCATTTTTAATTTTCAAAATCTGGCAGTCCAAACCTTTAGGTAATTTGTCCACATTTCCATCAAGGCATCGATTTAAAAAAACAAAAACATGTTGATTTCTAGGTTGGTTCAGAGTCCTACTGACATTACCCGTTAAGTGCTGTTCGAGGGTCCCTGTGGAGGAGTGGTCAAGCCATTTGCCTCATGCTCAGAGGGTCATGGGTTTCTTCCATGGCTGTGTCGTTCGGTCCACGAGGGCAATTTTTTCAAAGATTCTTAGAGATCATTGCAAGAGCTGTGGAGCTCATGCTTTGTGTGACACTCTCGGCAAGTGGCTAGCCATTCTGCTGAGGGATTCCGAGCTGGGGGGTAAAACCCAGTATAGTAAAGTCTGTCCTTCTCTCTCCTTTCACCTTTGGTCTTTACCAATGTGGGACTAGCACCATTCACACCATAAGCCTCAAGATGTGGAAATGGGTCCCTTTTACTTTTTATTTTCATTTTAACTTTGCTGTTAAATTTTTCAACTTTTCATCTGCTTATGAAGTTAAAAAATCATATAATGTTAGAACTATTTGTAACTGGGTAGTAAAATCATAATTACTTATAACTGGGTAATAAGATCCATCTTAGTTACTCATAACAAGGTAATATCTAAATTCTGTGTACTTTGGTAATGTTTTCTACTCCTAACTGGGTTACTGTCTAGGTCAGTAGTCTCCAACCATTTTCATGTCATGCCCCCTCAGGTATATGGCAAGAGTCCCACATGCCCCTTTAGAATATGGCAAAGAGGCCCCTCAACCCCCTCCCCGCCCAACAGAAACAGAAAGTATGGACATACATTCTGGTCAGAATGTGTTCTTTATAATTAAATGTGTGTGTTATCATATTAATTAGATTTTTAACTGCGGATGTAAAAACTATGAAAATACAAATGTCCTTGTCATTTTGTTTAATGAAAAGTTGAAAAAAAAATTTTTTTTATTTATAATTAAGCTGAAAATCTAAGTATAACTGATTATCACAAGTACAAATGCACTCACTTTCTGAATTTTTTTACCCCTCCCTGAAACCTGCTTGCATCCCCCAGGTCAGAGGCCACTGATCTAGGCTATAAAAAGCAGCTGATAAATGCGCTGTTCATACCAACTTAGTGCTGTCAATGCCAGACATGGACAGTCCTAGAAAAGAAATGCAAAATTACAACATCTGAGATGAGATGTATAAGAAATGCTGCTGTAAAAACAAGTAGAGACAGAGTCACCAAGGAAGGACTAAGAACAATAGTAGGCACACTACTGATGAACAATTACATAGAACATCAAAGAATCAAATGGATTGGTCATCTGGTCAGAATTGAACAAAATTAGCCAGTATCTTTAGCGTACTACATGAGAAACACCTGACTGCCACGCAAGAGGTCAAACAAGAAATAGATGGATGAAGTAATATAGACACTACAGAAATGCACTATGACATTAAGACAGTCGACACAACTAGCAAAAGACAGGAAACTGCATATGACTCCTCTCAATGACGCTTTGCTTCGTAAGCAGTAAGACAGAAAAAGAAATCTAGGTTGAATTTAACTGTTATGACATCGGTACCAATCATAACTGCGGCGTCCGTGGCTAAGGCGTTGCGAGTCCGACTCGTAAGCCAGCATACCGCGATCGAAACCCACTGCAGGCTGCGTGGATTTTTATCGTGGTATGGGACGTCGCAGGTCGACCCAGCCTAAAATGGGTACCAGGATGGGCTGTCCTGGGAAAGTAAAGACAGCCGGCGTAATGCTGACCACATTACCCACAGAGTGCTGATGGTCTGTAAAAATATGGGACGCTCTGCCCATATGCCCGATGCGCCGAAAGGCGTGAAAAGGGAACTTTACTTTACTTTACTTACCAATCATAACTGGTTAATTTTGTAATTGACATCAGTAATAACAACACAAGACTACAGCAGTACACTGAAATAGCCTCTACAATCTCATTTGATTTGTTTCCCCCATTCATATTTGTTTTTGCTTGTTCTCATCAGCCAAATGACCTAGGTGTTGGAGTTGTGGGCGTGGCCCAGGTAGACTTCTTACAGCCTATCCACAACAAGCAGGATTTCAATAAAGATGAAAAATTTAAGTGAGTTATTTTTGTTCAGTTTAACTTTTAGTAGATGTTTTTTCTTCCAAATTGACTCTGCCTCCCGGGATGACTCAGCCTAAAAAAGATATCAGGTAATGTCCTGGGAAGTAAAGATTGATGTTGGGATATTTACCACATCATCCAACGAGCGCTGATTGATGTGTAAAAATATAGATCTAGTTCTATACGCCTTTTGCTCCAAAGGGTATTTACTTTTGCTGACTTTTTTTATTGGATGTTTATATGGTTTTTCTTACAAGGCAGAAGAGATATGAGGGAGACTTTTTTCAAGGAGAAAAAAATGATAGACTGATGATTGTCATGGAAGGGACAGGATCAGAAATGACAATATCAGGAAACAGGTTGGGATGGAACCAGTATTAGACTATTTCATGAGACAGCAAATCAAATGGTTCAGAATTGTACCAAGACTACCACCAAATATTGCACCACAGAGTGCCCTGTCACTTAGACATAATGGAAACTGACCTAGAGGTCGACAACACAAGCAGTGGATAGATGGAATATCTGAGATCGTAGATACCTGCATCTTCTTAGCTCATACCAAGGCTCACACCAGATGTCTCTACAAAACCTGATGGTCAAAGACAGAACAGGACTAAAGATGAGGGAGAAGACCTGGAGAGAGCTGCATAAGATAAGTTAGCTTGGCTTGAGTTAATTGAGGGTTTAGTCTCCAGTAGGGGATCATCATTTATCCTGTCAGAAGGCATAGGCACTCATATCTGGCCACAGATCTTGGTCCTTGGTATTTTGAATCAGTTCCACTGATGTTATTTCTCCATCCCCTAGCTCAGGCTTTCAAGCATCATCTCTTAGTCTGGCTCTGCCATGTCTACTGTTGATCTTTCCAGTAATTATGATGTTGTTCAGTGCATCTTTTCTCATCACATGACCAACACTGGCCAGCCACTTCTACTTCCCAACTACCCAATACCCTTCAGGGTATACAAAAGGGTTCTTTTTTTTTTCTTTAAAACAAGCAGTTCCATCCTTTGTACACTTATGAATAAAACAAAGACAATAATCTGAGAAGCTGAGAAACACTTGTCAGAGATTTGACAATATCTACACAAGGTTGTATGTTGTTGTGTTGAAAGAAAGTGTAACAGTGAGAGAAAGTGTTGAGATTCAGTTACTATGAAAGCAAATGTTGAGACTCTGTTATGATAAAAGGTGTTGAGACTTCAGTTACAAGTATGTTGTAGGAGTCAACTAATTGGCTTATCTTTTGAGGTCGTAGTACATCTGCTGGAGAGGCAAGGAAGCAAGAGTCTGCATACAAATAAGCCAGATCTGTCAACCGGATGAGCACGCAACACTCAGATTCTGAAACCAGATCAAAGTCCGGAGGTTGACAGACACCCAGAACTTTCTGCTGGAGTATACAGCTTGTGAACGTGAAGAAAGAGAAGAAGAAGGTATTCGTTTTATAATGACTTTTGAGATATCTCACATGCTCTCTGCACAATTCGATAATATAGTGTGTGATTTTCACAATCATTTTTCTTGTATTCTCTCTCCACAGTTCAGTGATGTCAGCATTTGCCAACAAGTTGAATGATTATTGGAATGAGAAGAAAGGTTCCAATAGTTCTGCACAGCCGTCTGTACGGTATGTCATTTTTAATGTTCATATTTCATAGTAGCATATTTAAATGGAGATTGGTTCTGCTAATATTTCATAGTTATATGTTCAAGTTATGTTATGTTATCACAATCGACATCATTGCACATTGGGCATTCTCATGCATGCTCCAATGCAGAAGCCACTCCAAAGTACTTCTACTAGATGTTCCCATGAGAAGTTGCTTATATTGACTCCTATCTCGGCCTCGAAGACGGCACAGATGTACTTCACCCTGCTTTACTCCCATGTCACTCAGTCGTGTTAGTGTCATGGATTCCTCATTATCCACTAGCCCAATCTGTACAGCATTGACGATATCTGCTCTGTTCATGCTTTTTCGCACTTGCATTGGTGCATTGCTTGCCAGTTGGTCCGCTCGCTCATTGCTCTGTGTGCCCGCATGACCAGGTTTGTAGATCCAGGTTAGGGAGGTTAAGTGTGATTTTCCTATGCTTTCTACCCATTCAGAGCGCATACTGCCTGTTGCTATCTTCTGAAGCATGTTCATGGAGTCTGATACAATTACTGCGTCTATTTCCATGGTCATGCTTGATGTAGTTGTCTGGTTAGCGCCGCTGTCCTCTTGTATTGTTTTCCCCATTCTTTGCACTGTGTATGCCCATGCTGACATTGATCCGCGCTTCACGGATCCATCTCTGTAGATTATGATATCTTCTGGGTCTAAATGGTGTCTACGGCCGCAGGAATTTTATCCCTGCAGTACCTTCTGAGTGTGATGACAACCTTAGAGATGCCATGCATGTCTACTGGTGTATTCGTTCATTCTTTTCCGTGACTGATCTCTTCTAGGTCACATACCTGCTGGATTAAATCTCCAGCCTTGGCCGTCCAGGAGCGGCCTCTTTTGAGATGCATTCCTTTTGTGTCAGGTATAGCTTTGTGCAATGGGTGGTTAACGTCTGCCGATACCCTCATGTCCGCCTTGACCTGTGCGACTTTATACCTGTTAGTCATTGTCGGCAAACCCAGGAAATAACACATGGCGTGTCAGGAGGTGTCTTTTGTGCAGCTGAGTATGAGTCTCATGGCCTCATTTTGTACTCGGTCCAGTATTTCTAGCTGGGTTTTGCTTACTGTGAGGAGGCAAAGACCATAGTCAGTGACGCTTAATACAAGCCCTTGATAGAGAAGGAAAAGTAGGTGTTGTTCAATATAAGCTGCTGCTAGCACCTTGAGTGCTGTCAAACCTTTCCTGGTTCTAAGTATGACGTTGTCTACGTAGCATTTGTATGACAAGCATCTGACAAATGTCATGCATAGGTATTTCATGGTGTCCGTTCTCTCGATGTCCACACCACACATGCTTATGACTGCCGTTGGTGTACTGTCGATGTGGATATTTAGAGGAAACCATTTTAAGGAGGCTTTGGACGGGTTCACTTGTGCTCTTGATTCCTGGCACCACTCACTAACTCTGTCCAGTTTGTGTTGTAGGGGGGTTGTAATTTCGTGCCTGTTTTTACTTCGATGGTACACAAGGATATCATCTGCATACAGTATTGTTCTGCCTAGGCCTACACTTTGTGCACTCATGACTCCTGCTGTGTACACACTAAAGAGCACAGGTGACAATGGTGATCCTTGGGGCAGACCCATTAGGACGCGTTGGGATTTTGATGCCCATTCACCACACCGAAGCGACACTGTTCTTTCGAATAGCGCTGCTGCGATCCAGTTGACCCATTTTGTTTTTTTTCTGCATATCCAACAGCAGTCTGATGAGCATGTTGTATGGGACGCTGTTGTACGCATCTTCTAAGTCATTAGCAGCTGCAGCCATTTCCATTCCCTCCTGGAGAACCTCATATGTGTCGTAGGCAAATACTGCAGCATTGCACCATGTATCTTGATAGATGAACATGTAAATGTTCAAGTGAGGATTCATTGTGCTCATGTTTTATAGTGTGTTCAAGTGCAGACAGAGAAACACAGAACTGGCACTGAAGCAGGAAACAAATGTATTACGGAAGCAAGGACGTCCTGGAGACATTCGTTGACAAATGGTAATGAGAGAAGTAAAGCAGTGCTGAACTGGACTCCATAGATCACTGGCTCTCAACCTTACTAATGCTGCCACCCTTTAATAGAGTTGCTCATGTTGTGGCCACCCCCAACCATAACATTATTTTCGATGCTACTTCCTACCTTCTGTGAATATGTGTTTTTCTATGGTCTTAGGCGACCTGTGAAAGGGTCGTTCGGCAAAAAAAAAATTGCCTGATATAGATGATACTGAAAAATGCATATAAAATAGAGTGAAATGAAAAAATCTACAGCAAGTGATGTTTGATTGTTATTTATGGCACAGCAGGATGATGATAATAGTTAAGAAATAGTTGAACTATTTGGGGGGGGGCAGGGTAGCAATTTAACGATTTCTTATATTTTGCAGGGTAGTAGCTTAACTATTTCTTATATTTTGCAGGGTAGCAGTTTTATTATTTCTTATTCTTTGCAGGGTAGCAGTTTTATTATTTCTTATTCTTTGTAGGGTAGCAGTTTTATTATTTCTTATTCTTTGCAGGGTAGCAGTTTTATTATTTCTTATTTGTGAAGGATAGCAGTTTTATTATTTATTATTTCTGCAGGAATCAGCCGGATTGGTTATGGGCTCAGTGTGAGCATTGTTTGAAGTGGCGTCGGCTTTTGGATGAAGTTGATCCAAGATCTTTGCCTGAACAGTGGTTCTGCAGAATGAATAAAGATGCTACCCACAAGTATGTATATTTCCTTGTCTGCACTGAACGATAAATCTGTAGTTTGTATTGGTTGCTTCCTGAATCATAATTTGAGTATCCGTACTCCAAGAGACTGCTTCAGGGGAGACTTCTAGGCTGGAATAAGCATCCTATGCTTGCATAAAACTTGTACATTTATCTTTACATATAGTTTATGGCAGGATTTGTTTGTGGGAAACTAGATACAGTTTACAACCATCTCTGTTGTGTTTGTGAGAGACCAAATAGAATTTACAACTTTCAGTGCTGTATTTTTGGGAGACCAGATATAGTTTACAACTGTCAGTGCTGTGTTTTGTGGGAGACCAGATCAGAGTTCCCAACAGTCTATGCTATATTTTTAGGAGACCAGATAGAGTTAACAACTGTCAGTGCTGTGTTTTGTGGGAGACCAGATCAGAGTTCACAACTGTCGGTGCTGTATTTGTGGGAGACCAGATAGAGTTTACAACAGTCTGTGCCATATTTTTGGGAGCCAGATAGAGTTTACAACTGTCAGTGCTGTGTTTTGTGGGAGACCAGATCAGAGTTCCCAACAGTCTATGCTATATTTTTAGGAGACCAGATAGAGTTAACAACTGTCAGTGCTGTGTTTGTGGGAGACCAGATATAGTTAACAACTGTCAGTGCTGTGTTTGTGGGAGACCAGATAAAGTTAACAACTGTCGGTGCTGTATTTGTGGGAGACCAGAAAGAGTTTACAACAGTTAATGTTGTGTTTTTGGGAGACCTGATGAGTTTACAACAGTTAATGCTGTGTTTTAGGGAGACCAGATAGTTTACAACAGTTAATGCTGTGTTTTAAGGAGACCAGATAGTTTACAACAGTTAATGCTTTGTTTTGGGGAGACCAGATAGTGTTTATATCAGTAAAGCTATGTTTGTAAGAAACCAGAGTTTATGGCAATTAGAGCTTGTATCTGTGGAAGACAGAATAGTTTACACAGCAGTCAGAATATTTTTTTTTGGAAACCAACTCTAGTTTACAGCAACTGTGGCTGCATTTGTAGGAGACTAAAGTGTATTCAAATTTGTAGTAAAAGTAATTATATCTGTTTTGTACTTGTTCAGTCGCTGTGATGTTCCTGAAGAGCCAGAGGATGAGGACTTGGCTGTAAAGCCAACATATGAGAAAACTTTCAAGAAAAAACAGTATGTACAAAGGTTTTGGTTAATTATCGGGTAGTTATTGGTGTAAGCATTGACTATAGATTCGCTCAAGCGAAAGCACAGTTTCACAGAATATAAAATATTTTGTGCAATCAGTACCTTTTTCAGTTGAGGTGAGAAAGATCTACCATTTTGTCCCCTCCAGGCTGGTTACCTTAGGGTTTACCATGCCATCCTGAGGTTTATTTAAATTTGAATCTGGACCGCGGACCAATAAGGCAGATCCTAGGTTACCCTCTCAGCCTCCAAAGAAGAAATAATTAGGGCACCTGTAACAGTTGAGCGGCGTCTGTGGCTTAGGTTTTGCGAGTCCGACTTGTAATTCCAACATACCGCGATTAAAACCCACAGCTAGCTGCGTGGATTTTTTTATCAGGTATGGGGCGACGCAGGTTGACCCAGCCTAAAATGGGTACCGGGATGTATGTCCTGGGGAAGTAAAGACGGCCGGCGTAATGCTGACCACATTACCCACCTAGTGCTGATTGTTCTCTAAAAAGTATGGGTGCTCTCTTCCCATGTGCCAGATGTGCCTAAAGGCATGAAAAGGGATCTTTACTTTTTTACTTACCTGTAACGGCTACATCTGCCAGGTGTAACTGGCAGTCTTATGCATGTAAGGATTGAAGGTGAGAAAGAATTCTTGAGAACTGTATAGAGCATTGCTGGTGTACAAACGTGAATCATGGACTTATGGTAGTAGAAGATTATGTTGAAGCTGCAGAGATGTAATTTTGTAGAGAAGTAATGAGAACAACATGGACAGATAAAAAGTGAAATAAAGATATCTTGAAATAAATTAACTCAGGAAGAGAAGTTATTATTTGTTTCAGAGAAAGACAATTTGTATTCTTTAGACATACTGTGAAAAGGGGAAAACTTGGGTATGTTGTGACAGTTGGAAAGCTGTGATGAAAGAGGGAGACGAAGATGGACAGTTTGGCATAAAAATCTCTCTGTATCAGAAATTATTGACAGTACATGAGACAAAATCTGTTATTAGACATGATTGCATGAGTACCGATTGGACTATGTAAGAAGAAAAACATTGAATTAGAAACTATGTGGTTGATATTGTACAGCTTGGACAAGTTCAGTGTCCCAGTGTGGGTTTCTGCACCCCATTTTCTTCAAAAAGTTGGGGGGTGGGGGGCAAAAACTTCCAGGTTGGATTTCTTTATCCTTTTCTACTTCTACTTCTTGTTTTTTCTTCAGTTTCTCACTTCTCATCATAACGTGATCATGAAAGGGGAGGGTGTGGGGGTTTGTGCATGGATGCAGTGCTCCCTCATAAACATGTCATAAAAAACAGTTAATTATGCTTTTTGATTTTTGCTGATATTAAATGTGGGTGTTTAAAAGCCTAGATATTGCAGTCTACCTGTAAACCAAAACGTACAAGTACCTTTTTAATTAATGCAGAAGAATGAGAATCAGGTCCAATTTAGACCCTGAAATATGTAGAAATATAGAGGAATAGCGGAAGCAAAAAACAAGTACACAAGTTTTGAAGAATTTGTAGAATAATTTATTTTAATTGTGAACTAGAGGTAACACTGAACTATTTATGCAGGGAGGAAAGGAAAAAGTTACAGCAGCTGGAACGAGAAAAAGAAGAGAACATGAAAGTAAGCAAAATATCTTGCAAAGTTTGATGTGGTTTCTTTCTTATAATTATAATATATATGTTTATATGTTTGTAACTTTGAAACTTCCAGGTTGGACTTCTTCTTTTTCATCTTCTTGTTTTTTCTTCCTATGCACCAGCTTCTTTATCTTCGTCCTTTTTTTCATCCTCCTCCCTTTTCTCCTTTTTTTTTTTTTTGCGGTCTCCATCTTCATTATCTCCTCTTCTCCTGCTCCTCCACTGTCTCTTCTTTTGCTGCTGACAGAAGTAAAAACATTTTTGTTGAGCTTCATTGCTTGCTTCCTACAAGGTGATACAGTGGTACCTCAGGTCACCATCTTCCAGGGATCTTTACTACTACTGTATGTTGCAGTTGCAGTTTGTTTGAAAAAAAAAAAAAAATGTGTCACCCTAACCAGCTCCAATGATGAGCGGCGGTTATTTTGGGACTGCGTTTATTTGTTTGGAATTTCCAATAGTTTTTTTCAATTGTGACGAACTACGTCTAGAAGTGGTTTCCTTGCGTGTTTCTGCGATGGTGGCCGTGATTGGGAGTGGAAGTTTACTAGTCCTGAGAAGGAGTAAAGTTTGCTGGGGCTACCTCGAACGGGTGGGAGGGATTGGATTCGGCGGCTGACATCATGCCAGGCTGGTAGCGAGCTGTTGGGTGTTCTCCGGGCTGGGTGGTTGGCTGGTTCAGCTGTCATGGCGGCTGGTCTGGAGGGCGTGGGTTAGTTTCTCGAGTTCATCTCTAGCCAGTTTGTCTTCGTATGATCCCACGTATTTGGCTAGTTCTGCATCTATTCTGTCTGACTCTTCTTTTGCTTTTCTGTCTGCCTCCAGCATTGCTTCAAGGTCTTCTTCTGATATTTCTGCGGCGGTTATTTTTGCTTTCTGTGCTTTTTTGCGGTTTTGGACTGATTGCCTTTTTCGTTCCGCTTCTTTCCTAGCGTTTTCTCTGGCGTCCATCACTTCATTGGTGGCTTGCAGTGTGGTGCTCAGTTTGGTCAATTCTTCCTTTGCCTTGGCTAGCTCTGCTTTTGTTTCTATCGCTTCTTTCTTGGCATCAGCGACTTCGGAAAGTAGATTTGTATGGCTTCCTTGGATCTCTTTGGCGGATTCAGCGTCTGCTACCTTGATCTTTTTGAGTTCAGTGAGCATCGCCATCAATTCTGTCTTGAATGCCATCATCTCGACATTTTCTTTCTTTAGTCTTCGTTGGGTTTCTAGGGACGACTGTATGATACTTCATAGGTCGTTCATTTCGTGTCTATCCTGGATCCTTAATGCCTTGATCTTTGTGTTTTTTTCCCTGAGGGTTTTGATTTCGTCCCTCAAGAGCGTGATCTCCTTGTTGGTTGCGGGTGGTGCGACTGTCGAGCTAGGCGCCTGGAATCTTCGTCTTGGCTCTTAACTACTGTATGTGTTTATGGGTACCTTTATAATTACTTATGTGTTTGACTGTCATTTTGTTACCTGTTACTTGTTGTCTGTATCGACATACTCTCACATCGGTCCAACCCATTCTGGCTCTGTTCTCCGATGCAGCAGCCATATCAGTGTCTCCATACCCACTGTATTCAGTAAGAGCTAACTGGCAGATCTTTCCATACCTTGCAACCAGTTTCTGCATGCTTGTCATTGTTTAAAACTCATTTCCAACAGGCGGTTCATCGTCTGTGACTTATTTGTCTCAATGTCTCCCGTTCACTATGTCCGCTCTGTCCATACTTCTTTCTCCACTGACTGCTGCAGACACGGCCAGTCTATCGACACTTTCATTTCCCTCCGCCCCAGTGTATCCTGGTGCGTAGAGCCAAAATAATTTTTGAGGTGAGGCTCCTGGATGCAGTCAGCTTGTTCTGGTTAGGGGTTTGCTTTTTTGGGTCTCCTTAAAGCTGCTCATTGAGTCTGTCGATGCCTAAGTTGCTTTCTGTTCCACCAGCTTTGCCAGTGGGGCCCCTGTGTCTCTGTGGTAATTGAAGTAAATGCCAGTTTGTTTTTATTTTTGAACTACTATATATACTTTGACATTTTTTCTTAAATTCCATGATGTAGACAGTTATTACTTTAACCCCATCATTTATACTTCATTATTACTTTAACCACATCACTTACACTCCATTATTACTTTTACCCCATCAGATATACTCCATTATTATTGTAACCTCATCAGTTATACAGTTATTACTTCAGTCTCATCAGTTGTTGACAGTTATTACTTTAACCTTACAGTTATAGACAGTTATTACATTAACCACATCAGTTATCCAGTGTTATTACTGAAGCTGCTTTCTGACTCAGGATGTTTTTGTTTTAGAAAATAATTTACTGGGGCATATAGAGTTAATTACAGTAAAACCTCATTAACATGAATTCCAAGGGACTGAACATCAAGTCCATGTTTTTTTTAAAATGTGTGCCAGCCAAGGCACTAATACAATAATACATCTTTGCTGGGCCTACAAATATGTTATATTAACCAAGTGTTGTTATGCAAGTTCATGTTAGCGAGGTTTCTACTGTATTACCTTGTTGATTCATTGATTAATCTGTATGGCTCCTTCGCTAATTGTGTTAGCTCATCTGTAGATTCATATCTTTCCTGTGCTTTAGAGAAGGAAGATTATGGAAAAGGAACAAGAGCTGCAAGAGAAGGAGGCTGCTTTAAGAGCTATACAACAAGTGGCAGCTGCACAACCAGTAAGTGGGTGCAGAGCAGATTCGTCTTAATGTAAATTATTAGAATTGGTGGTTATTTTAGAAACAAAATGGTAGAGATACTGATCTGTCAAGTGTGTGTTTCTCTGTACTCCGTGCGGATATGTGATTAGTTGTATGGTGAGTGTGTGGGTATGTGATCCAGGTAGTTGTGGAGATATGATATAGCTGTGTGAAAATTAGATAATTGCATCGATATAAGATTGTTGTGTGGAGTGGGATAATTGCACGGATATGAGATTGTTGTGTGGAGTGGGATAATTGCACGGATATAAGATTGTTGTGTGGATTGAGATAATTGCACGGATATGAGATTGTTGTGTGGAGTGGGATAATTGCACGGATATGAGATTGTTGTGTGGAGTGGGATAATTGCACGGATATGAGATTGTTGTGTGGAGTGAGATAATTGCACGGATATGAGATTGTTGTGTGGAGTGGGATAATTGCATGGATATGAGATTATTGTGTGGAGTGGGATAATTGCACAGATATGAGATTGTTGTGTGGAATGAGGTAATTGCACGGATATGAGATTGTTGTGTGGAGTGGGATGATTGCACGGATATGAGATTGTTGTGTAGAGTGGGATAATTGCATGGATATGAGATTGTTGTGTGGAGTGGGATAATTGCATGGATATGAGATTATTGTGTGGAGTGGGATAATTGCACAGATATGAGATTGTTGTGTGGAGTGGGATGATTGCACGGATATGAGATTGTTGTGTGGAGTGGGATGATTGCACGGATATGAGATTGTTGTGTAGAGTGGGATAATTGCACAGATATGAGATTGTTGTGTGGAAATGAGATAATTGCACGGATATGAGATTGTTGTGTGTGGAAATGAGATAATTGCACGGATATGAGATTGTTGTGTGGAAATGAGATAATTGCACGGATATGAAACTTGTGTGGAATGAGACAACTGCATGGATATGTGATGGTTGTTTGGAGTGAGATAACTGCATGAATATGAGATGGTTGTGTGGAATTAGATAGCTGCATGGATACGAGATTGTTGTGTGGGAATGAGATAATTGCATGGATAAGAGATTATTTTGTGGAACTGAGATAATTGACTGGATTTGAGATTGCTGTGTGGATAGGATATTAAGATAGTAGTGTATATCAAATTGAGATAGTTGTTTGAATATCTTCTTTCTTCTTCCTAGTGTTTGCTGGCTGTAAACTCCAGTAAAATGTTCTGGTTGTTTATTCATTTCTGGACTTTGGTCTTGTTCCAGATCTTGAATGTTGCATGCAAATCCATTTTACAGATCAAGCTTATTTGTATGCACTGTTAGTTCCTCGAGTCTCATGCAGATACATCTCAGCTTTGAAGGAAACTCCCCTAATTAGTCACCTTGTATGGCTTGCTGGTTAGAGAGGCAGTGGGTCTGTTCTTCCCCCCCCCCCCCCAAATGAGACCCCAGAACCCACACAGAAAATGTGGATATGAGAGTGAGATAGTTGTGTGGATATGTGATTGTTGTGTGGATATGAGATTGTTGTGTGGGTATGAGGTTGTTGTGTGGATATATGAGATAGTGTGGATGTAAGATTGAGATAGTTGTGAAGAAATAAGATTGAGATAGTTATGTGGATATGAGATTGAGATAGTTGTTGAGATATATAAGACTGAGGTAGTTGTGGCGATGTAAGATTGAGATAGTCGTGTGGATTTACGATTGAGATGGTAGTGGGGATATGAGATTGAGATAGTTGTGGAGATATAAGATTGAGATAGTTGTGTGGATATAAGATTGAGATAGTTGTAGAGATATGAGATTAATGTAGATATGAGATTGTTCTATGAAAATGAGATAGTTCTGTGGATATGATATTGTTAAATTACTTCCACTTGTATTGTTCCTGTTTAGGACATGCCACAGTCTTTAGAGAAGTTGAATTACCTCCACCTACATACAACTTTCATGTCCACTAGATTTGGCTCAGATCAGTGAACAAGTTTAGAGTCATGGTGGCAAGCAGCTAGAAGACACCTTCTCACTTGTCCAAATTTCTTGAGTTCACAAGTTGACCAGATCACTCATTAAGCACTGATTTGAACCCACCCCCCCCCCCTTCTTTCCCACATCCATGCAATGAAGAGGGTCCTTAACTTATTTTTCAGTGTAAAATTTCAAGGATCCCATTTTTTGCAGGCTGAAAAAAAAAAACAGACCCACTGCCGCTCAACAAGCTTGTCACAAGAGATGAATAATCAGGGATTTGCTGAAATCCGATGAGTTGGGCAGAAAATGTGGCTGTCCACCACAATCTAGCATGTTAATCGCTTCTTAAAGGGCAAACACAAGAGAAGAAAGCTACAAATATGAAGACTGTCAGTCACTACAGATTGAACTTGATCAGTTGCAGGAAAACAGAACAGTGGCATCCTTGCAGAAAGCTCTGATGGAGGCACGACGACGGGAGGAGCAGCAGAAACGGTTGATACTGCAAATACAGGAGCAGAAAAAGGCTATTTTGGAACAGCGTAATTCATTGTTGCAAATGGCTGAAACTTGGCAGTCTGAAGAAATGAATGGTGATGTAAGTTTCCTTTATAATTCAGTTAAGTGCTATCTCCACAAATATGATTTGCTCCAGTGGAACTTCAACACTTCTTTCGCTCTTTGGTTCTTTGGAAACAGCGTAATTCATTGTTGCAAATGGCTGAAACTTGGCAGTCTGAAGAAATGAATGGTGGTGTAAGTTTCCTTTATAATTCAGTCAGTTAAGTGCCATCTCCACAAATATAATTTGCTCGAGTGGAACTTCAACACTTCTTTCGCTCTTGCTTTGGTTCTGTACTGTTAGTCCATCTCTTAATGTTATCTTCTCAGTTGTGTCATTGCCAGCCATTTCAACTTATATCATAGCTTTTCTAAAACCTCCCTGTCTTCACAGTTCACATTTTCCCACTTGTGTTATAGCCCATCACTTATCTCCCTGTCATCTTTTTTCCAGTTGTATTATTGCCTTTCTCCTGCCCCTCAGTTTCCAGCCTTTATCACTACCTGTCCATTGCCTCTCTGTTTTCTCTCTTGTATCATTGCCTGTCTCTTTCCCTCCCTGTTTTTAACTTGTTTGTCCCTTCTGTATGTTATTTATAAGAGTCTTTAAATGTCAGAGTATTTTACTTCAATTTCTGCCAATTTTCTTGTCACTTTTGATTTCTCAAATACTTCTATATTTGTGTTTGTTTCCATGAAATACACTGAAATACTTTTATATACATTTAGGACTTCAATTTCCTATTTTTATTGCTTATTCACAGACCTTTTTCTGTTCTATCTGGTTCAGTGGTTTTTCAGGTAATGTCACCCTTTGAATATATGGCTAGACTCCCACGCTTTCTCTCGTCAGTTTTAAAATTTTTTTTTTAAATATTATTGATTGGAAAGATCAAGGCAACATGACAAATGCCAAGCGCTATTACCAAGAACTTGGAAAAAAAAAAAAACCACATGAATCAAAGTGTCAAAAAAAAATTAAACATTCATCAACAACTGGTAATTTAGTGTCCAGCATTATCGTTGACACTGTTTTGTTTTGTTGATGTCTGCTGTTTGTTGGTTTGATGTTGGACAAGGCTTAAAGGAAGCATCATCAAGTGCCTAGCCAACTAGCGTAGGTGTTCATGCATCTCTACAGATCTCGATCTTTGGTGTTCTGGATCAATTGCACTGATGATATTCCTCCATGCCACTGTCTTAAGCCATCCACCATCATTTCTCTTGGTCTGCCTCTGCCTCTTAAAAAGGACTACTGAAAAAAATTAATTCTTCTTCTTCTTCTTTGTTGCATTCAACATTAAAATGGCATTTAGCATGTTGTATCGGGGTTTACATCTGGATTGTGATTTTATTTAAATCCAATTTCACTAAATCCTTAATTAGTTGCCTTTTACAGCAGGCTTTTTAAGGAGCAGTGGTACTCATGTTTTTGTCCTTAAAAATTTTGGTCTCAAATCTGCATGAGGAAGCAGTATTATTATTATTGTTTTCTTCTTCTTCTTCTTCTTCTGCCTTTATCTGAAGATATAATTGTGTTATGCCCATTTACAGCATGGCTGCAGTATTTGTGCCTTTCAGCAGACACATCCAGCTTCTGCAGGCATTTGTTGACCAGGTTAACCTTCCCGGTTTATTTATTTTAATTAGTGTTCATAATACTCAAATTAAACATCTATATATAAATCAGAGCAGAATGAAACTGCATGTTTATTGTTATTTTTTCAGGAAGTCTTTCAACAGATGTCCCAGTTGATTAACACCCTGGGCCCACAGTTTACACCATCGACACCTGCGTAAGTAACTCATTGTGTCACAGAGGAGTCCTGTTTTATTTCCTGTGTTATTACTTTCTTCTTCCTGTGTCAATGTCTGTTTTGTACCAATAGGCATCACTGTCTGATTAAATTCAGGCGAAGGTTATTTGTATGGGAAGGGACGCAATCATTAAATATGAACAGGGCAAAGAATTAACAGATTTCTTTCCATTTGGCCAGAAACAAATTAATTTGTGTAATGTTGCCACGGGGAACAAAGTGGTGTCATGAGATTATGATGAGACGATGACGTCACAGTTTAAGACAAGATATATTTTTTCACCGCTTAATAATATTTACATGTGTTTGTGCATAAATATAGTCACCCTGTCTATAGTATGCATTTGTTATGGACGATAGGCATAGTCACTCTTTTACCCGTGGTAAATTTTTTGCTTCTGACAGACAGTGGCCATTGCATTTTCCTCAAATTTTAGATTAAAAGGATATAGTTTTGTTGCCCAGCTGCTGAGTTGTGTGCATGGTGTGACACTGTGAGCTGCAGATTTCATTTGGAATTCTTTTTCGATTGTGACCAACATGGTGTTGTGAACTGGCAATAGATTCAGAAAATGGCCATGGCCTGTTGCCACAGAATTTATAGTGCCTTATGTGCTTGAAACTCATCACATGTGCAACTGCTGATCTGTTTGTAACTGCTGCTTCTGTCAATGATGAACTGCATTTCTAATGTTGGACTGATTGTGTTAGCACTTCTTATGGCTGCTCATGCTTTTAGTGCATGTGTATGCTAGTGGATATGCTGAGACTGCAGTCTGTGTCAATTTTTCCACAAGGGATGGTGATGGAACATTCAGTGTGTTTTCTGTTGGCACAGAAGCAGAGCAGCTATGGGGTGACCTGTTTGCTATAAAGCTGAAACTAAGATTACCAGGATTACATTATATAATCTTTGCCGCTACTGCTTAAAGAGTTCATGTCATCAAAAACCTGTCAAATCCAGAAAAACGACATTCTAGGTTTAACAGAGTTAAGATGCCAAATTCTGCCAAATGCCCTGACCCTTTAATTATAGTTCATGTTGTGGCGACCCCCGATCCTAACAGTTATTTTTGTCGCTACTTCGTAACATCAGTGAATATGTGTTTTGCGATGGTCTTTTGGCGACTCCTGTGAAAGGGTTGTTTGACCCCCAAAAGGGTTGAGAACCACTGAGTTAAGTAAGGGTCTCTTTCTCTTCCCATTATCACATCGGGTATATATCTTCTTCTTCTTCTTTCGTTCGCATGAAATAAATTGTCTATATCTGCAAAGCTGTCTCTAGTATGAATTTCACTGTCTTTTGTAATTCACTAAGCGGCCCGTAAAGTTTGACTTCCACAAGTGTCTCTTTTGGCCAAAGGTTTTGCCTGAAAGCGTTGAATCTGGGACAGTCTTGAAGGATGTGATCTGTTGTTTCAGGTGCCAGTCCACAAGTACACATGGCTGATTGGCCAATCTTAACATCGGGTATATATTGCTATACCCATATTTTTGTAGATCAGTTGGCACTTTATAGATAAAAATTGAAAAAAAAAAAAAAAAAAAGGTAAAGTCAGGAAATGTGAACCAGCATCATTGCACATGGTTATAAACCAAAAGTGTTCTGCCACCAGTACATACAGCTGATAAGAAACTGTCCACCTGTGTCGCCATCCGCATGTAACTTTGTAGCTACAGCAAAGTTCCTTCATTTACCCCAGAGTGTCAACTCTGGTGCCCATTTCCCAGAGGCTGGGTGAACCCCAGAAACCGCCCGGTTTCGAACGCCGACCGTGGCTGCAGCAAGTCGCTGCTGGATTTGAAAGCGAGTCTCCTATCGCCTGCGCTTATGAATATATGATGTCATCAGCATCATGCCTACAGTCTTTACTTCCTATGACATTTCCTGAGGTCTGGGTAACCTTGCAAGGCATGTCAGTTTATACAAATCCACATAATTTCTCTTTCTAGCATTTACTTTGTGCTATCACTTTTAAAATTCTACATTTTGCTGTTAGCACCTGTTATTACTTTTAAGCTACGATTTTTTTTTTTTTTTTAAGTATTTGTTTCCTATGTTATTTTATAGATGCTATATTTTAAATGTTGTTATTTGTTTCCTATGTTGTTTTATTGATGCTATATTTTAAATGTTGTTGTTTCCTATGTTGTTTTATTGATGCTATATTTTAAATGTTGTTGTTTGTTTCCTATGTTGTTTTATAGATGCTATATTTTAAATGTTATTTGTTTCCTATGTTGTTTTATTGATGCTATATTTTAAATGTTGTTATTTGTTTCCTATGTTATTTTTTAGATGCTATATTTTATATTAATTTTGAATGTTGTTTTACAGATGCTATATTTTATATGTTGTTATTTGTTTTCTATGTTATTTTTTAGATGCTATATTTTATGTTGTTAATTGTTTCCTGTGTTATTTTATAGATGCTAAATGCTCACGTGCACTTCTTCTTAATTTTTGCCTTCTAACCCCCAATTGAGCTGGTAGGCTACTGCAACTGCCTAAAATGTCTATAATTTCCTTTGTTTGCCTTCATGCTTGTCAGATCCTCTCTCTACCATGCCTTCCATTACTGTTCTCTCCAAAAAACTCGGCATTTAACTTGACTGAAGTACTTTGGGTTCTAAAACAGGACACTGCTTATAAGGCAGTTTTCTTCCGTTCTCATTTATTGACCACATCACCTATCACGTGCCGACTGATCTATACAAATATGGGTCATGCACCATATGCTCACTGCACTTCTTCTTCTGCCTTCTAACCCCCAATGGAGCAGAGGCTCTCAACCAACTCACGCCAAATTGTTCTGTCCTTCGCTATCACATGCAGCTCTCCCCATATTTTTAACTTCACTCTCTAGCTCCCTTCTCCATTTTTTTTATTTTTTTTTGGGGTCTTCCCTTATTTTTATGCCCTGTAAGTCCCAGTGCAAGACACTGCACTAATGATGTGAAAAGGTTCCTTGAATTCGTCTAAGGTATTTACAACATTACCAGTGGATCACGCTGTATTTTCTGTTTATTCCGTCTTTTTAGACCCTTTTCAGACGCTGGTAAAATGGAAGATTCACAGCCCGTGCAAAATGGCAAGAGAAAAAGAAAAGTAAACTTAAAAAAACTGGAGAATTTGTCTCAGTTACAGAAAATGACATAGAGCTCGATGTAGATGTAGAGTTTGCGGAGGTCCCCTCCACCGGCAACAAATCCCAGAAAACAAAATAAGGCAACAAAGCAGAATACACCTTCAGTAAAGGCAGAGACAGAGAGGAAATCTTCAAAGCATCACCAAAACAGCCCTGCAGTGACCAACAACTCAAGGAGTCCGGGTTCAACAAGCAGTAAACATTTAACCCCAGCAGCTTCACCAGCCAAGACATCAACAGAAGCCAGGGCTGCATCTACTTCTGGGCCACCGGCAGCATCAAAAAGAAAACGACAGCGTAAGGGACCTGTGGGGGATGTAATCGACCTTACTGATGAAAGTGAGTTCAGCGAGGTCATGGATGTGAAACCCAACATGCCCGGGGATGCGGCGATGGCACTGGATGGTGTGCAGACTCAAGTAGCTGAAGTCAAGCCAGAAAAACAATCTTTGGATGAAGTTTTGTCTGAGAAAAGTAAGATGCCCGGATGGTCTGATTTAGATGACACTGTCATTTCTTTCTCTCTCTTGCACTTGCTTGTTTTGTTATTTTGGTTTACGTTTCTCTCTGTGTCTCCCTCTTCTGTCTCGCCTGACTCACTTCTCCTGTCTCGCCTGACTCACTTCTTCCGTCTTGCCTGACTCACTTCTTCTGTCTCGCCTGACTCACTTCTCCTGTCTCGCCTGACTCACTTCTCCTGTCTCGTCTGACTCACTTCTGTATCGCCTGACTCACTTCTCCTGTCTCACCTGACTCACTTCTGTCTCGCCTGACTCACTTCTGTCTCGCCTGATTCACTTCTCCTGTCTCGCCTGACTCACTTTTCTCTCCAAGGATCTCACCATTTTTAAGTTGCTGTGTATTAGTTATACTTTTCAGTGTACAAGACGACCCCTTATTTTGTTTCAAGCCCAAAATTAAGAATAAAAATAATAATAAATATTATCAACACCAAATAGAACAACTTTGATATTTTTATTTAAAATTCTTTCATTTGGTGTTTACTTGCTGTAACCTCCAGAGGAAAGGGATGTTTGTTTGTTCGCTTCTTGTTTCAGAACTGGAGTTTTGCATGAACACCTGTTGTACAGATCTGTCTTATTTGTATGCAGACTTTTGGTTCCTTGCTGTGAAACAGATGTACTCAAACTTTGAAGGAAACATCCATAATTAGTCAACTTTTACGGCATGCTTGGGTGGTCTTTTTCCCCCACCCACATTAAATATTTAAAATTCCAGTATATTTAGTACTGCACCATGTTTACACCATGGGTGCCAGAACTGCCTGAGTATGCTTGGGGGGGGGGGGGGGGATCTTTGGGAACCAGGTGGAAGGTACAGTGAATGGGGGGGGGGTGTACCAGAATGGAGTTTGTCATGAGGTCAATAGTAGTTAGTGGAGGCTGGGGGAAAGAATATGGATAGAAGCATGTATTTATTTATATATTTAATTGCAACATTCCGTTAATAAGATGACCCCCAGTATCAAACTCAAAACATTTGAGAAAACATCTTTTTTTATGGAAAAATACGGTAATTGCTTACAATATATTTTTTCCTTTTTTAGATAATCATACTGAGATAACACCGAAGGAAGAGTTTTTTGAGACAGTCACACAGAATTCGACTTCATCATCACCAACCAAAAAGTCTGACCCTGCAACCAGTGATGCCAGGGCTTCAGATGCTACACAGGGGATTCAGTTTAGACCTGACCTGGCGGGTAATCCTGAATTCTTACAGGATAACCTAGAGGCAGCTCTTGCAGCTATTCAAGATAGAATGGAGAAGGAAAACCTTCGGCAAGAATCTGAGTTGGATGATAAAGATGGTGTTATAAAGGATGAGATCCGAGGTGAAAATGTGACAAACAACACTGATGTGGCTGAAGGAGAGAAAGAGGTCGAGTCAGGACAGAGTGAAACAGTACCTGCTGTGTCAGAAGCACCTAAATTAGATGTAGATGGTGAGGTAGATGGTGCTCAGCTACATAGCGATGAATACGATCAAGACATGAGTCGAGAAAATGAAAACATACCCCTATATTGACATTCAGTGATTTGCTTCCACCAGAGGAGAATAATGAAATGGCAGATGAAAGAAGTGACTCCGTAGACTATTCTGTAATTGATGATAGTGGTGGGGAGAGTTTCAGTTACTGTGGTGCTGCTGATGGTGAATCCGCTGGTCAGGATGATGTAGACAGTCCATACTACAGCACTGGATTGGAAGTGGACAGTGAAACTGTGGACCCTGTTGAAGAGCCTGTCTCTGAGAACTGTGGCAGTCAGCCACAGAGTAAAGTAGTTGCCAGTTTGTCTTGTGGTTTTACAGAAACTGTTAGAGACTCTGTCTCAGCTAGTTCACATAAAGCAGGGAGTCAAACAGGCAAGTTGAAGGATGCACAGGAAGAAAGTCTCATGTCTTCAGAGGAAACACTTAAAGATAACAATTCACCCAGTAACTCAGACAGATCATGTGAAGATTCAGTAAAATTACCCCTAAAAATGTGTCAAGTATCACATAAGACTCATTCCTTTACAGCTGAAGACTCCTTCACAACTGAAAACATCCCAGAACAAGCCTTAGCTCATTCTGAACATCCTCCTGCTTTTGATGAGGATGACATTGTCTCATTTGATGATCTCAGGGATGACAGTGCCGAAGAGCACCTTCATTCCATGAACAAGCCTTTAGGTTTTGAAGACCCAGACCAGGGACCCATCTTATATCCTGACCCAGTCTGCGGCAGATGATTCTGTCACAAGTACACACAATATAGACAGTAGTGATTTTACTGCCGCAAGAAGTGGCCATAATAAACTAGTCAGTTCTGAAGTGAAAAATGATGCAGTCTTGAAGAATTCTAAATCCAACCAGTGCAAGGTAAAAACTACATGCGATCAGAAATCACAGACAGACATTGATATGGCAGCAGTTAAGTCAGTTCTCAAGCACTGTGGACAGTCCACCTATCAAAATGTTTCATCATAAAGATATTCAAAGTAAAAAAGAACTTATGAATGATCAGTACAGTGATAAATCATCTCAAGTGACAGATCTGACAACAAACTCCGAAGCTCAAACAGATTTAACTCTTTCCACTAACAGTCAGAAAAAGACAGACGCTGTGAAGAGTCTGCACAAAGATATTTCAGTGAAGACTGAGCTGTTAGAGAAAATGGAAGCCAGACTTGCAGAAACTTATGTTAATATCCATAAGTTATTGGGTTTCATTGTTCCTAGTGCCGAGCTTGGAGACATCAGCAACATCCATCAGGTAGTGACCGACATGGTTAAGTACAGTGAGGCCTCCCCTCAGCCGATAATCAAAGGCAGCAGCAAGGTCTAAACATGAAAGAAACTTGGCTTACAGACAACATCATATCTTGGAAATTCTCATAAAAACCTGACTGGAAAAAGGGGAAAGGGGGGGGGGGGTGGAGCCAGCAGGAGGTAGACAGTGCTGCAAGTAAGAAGATAATACCAACAGGTGTGAGAGCAGCAGTCTCAGGGAGCATACAGCCAAGATGAGAGAGCTTTAGAGATCCATTGCAGCAGCCAACCTCCATTGAATAAAGTGTGCAATAGTTTTCAACCTAGGGGTGTGCCAGGTAATCTCAGGGGGGCGTCAAACAATTTTGTAATTAAGAGCAACTGTACTTGTAATAATCTGCTATTTTAACATTTCAGTATAATTATAAATACATTTTTAATAAATATTTCTAAAACTATTTTTAATCAAATTTTTTTTTAAGTTGTGCAAGGGGGTCTACCTTATCTTCTAGGTGGGCGCCACTTGAAAAGAGTTGAAAACCTCTGGGGTCACTGGCACCAGATTCATTGGCCTCAGGGCTTTAGAAAGAGCTGAACTGGGAGTTATGGTTTCTGGACATTTGAGATGCTTTGTGCATAGAAATACAGGAGTTAAGGAAGTTAACAAGAAGCTGAGATTCTTGTTGGCAGACTGTGATGGGAGCAACATACTGTAGAGGACCTTCTTGATGATGAAGAATAGCTTTACAATACTCAGATGTTTATTCCGATTGCTTTAACCTTGAGATCTCAGTATTTTTTGTCAGTGTTATTTCTCTTGCATGAGCAGTCAATCAGGGGCCATCTCCACAATAAATGTTGGCTGCCATGATCACCAAAACCCTTCCATCCTGGTTGTAAACTCTGTGAGACCACTATCTGTTCTTTATACTATGCTCTCACTTGTATCACAGTCTACCTCTTGCTCATGTCTTTTGTTAGCCTGCAGTAGGGTTCTTTATGAGAATCTGGTCAGTTAAAGTGACTTGAATATTTTTAATCTCTTTATTTCTTTTTACAGTTCTCTTTTCATTCCTAGTCACCCCAGAACCTATTTTTTGTGTTGTTCTATAAATTATTAAATGCTCTTCTATAGATAAAGTCATATCTCCAGCATTTTTAATTAAAATTTCTAGTTGCTTGATCATTGTTCAAGTTCTTGCACCACACAGTAAGGTTCAGTATACACATTCTCATTTTTAATGTCCGTTTCTAAATGTAACAAAAAAATTTTTTTTTTTTTTTTCAAATTTAAACATGTTCCCACTTTTACTGACTATGAGAGGACCAGCACTCTGCTGACAAATAAGCCTGATCTATAATAAATTCCAGAGAAATTTGACTAAAAAGCTCAACAAAATGGGAAAGAGGAAAACGTGCACAAAACAACACAACGTAACGTTTCGGCCAGGCAGCCTTTTTCAAACACAACAGATGTCCTAGAGCAAGGGGGTGGACAACCATAACTTTCTACAAAAGTTTACAGCCAGTCAACATGAAGAAGAAAAAAAACCCAGCCTAAAAAACTGAGACCATCAACTTTTCTGGAAAGTAAAGGTGTCTACACTGACATGTTTTCAAAATGCAGAGTTAATATTACTGATTGAGTTTGTGCCTGTGCAGATTTTTTGGAAGTCAGAATATGAATAGGTGTGGTAGCTACACACAGCATATATGGTGTTCAGCTATGAACCAGATAGCATTTATAAAGTCAGGGTGATGTTATTTTCCTATAAGCCTCGGGGATAAAATTTAAGCAGGTTGATTCACCTGATACATATTGTGTTTGACCCCTGGGAAATCTATTCTATTTAATCGTTCACCTTGTTTGTGTTTTTTTATTACTTCCTCCATGTATCTATATATTTTTCCAGGAGAGAAACGGTTTTTTATTGATTTTTTTTTTCTTGAATTCTATGGGGTTTTGATTTATTTGTGTAGTGTTCCCAGGGCCAGAGGGTTAAATACTGACTTGTAGAATTACAAAATGAACTTTTTTTAATATCTTTATTGTTGTAATTGTACATATTGAAAGGTTCCAGTAAGTAATGAACTATTTTTCCCCTCAAATATATGATGGATGGATGAATGGATGGATAAATGTTTTGGAAGGTGAATTCAAGGATGGTTGGATGGATAGGCTTGTAGGCAGGAAGATAGATAGATGGGTAGATAGGCAGCTAGAAAGAAATAGGTAGGTAGGCAGTAGGATGGATGGATAGTGTGGCAGGTGTGTATACTGATAGGAGATAGGTCAGTGAATGGATATCGTGATAGGTGTTTGTATATATTGATAGGTGATTAGATAGATTGACAGACAGACATCCTGCCGGTAAATGAGTTGATTAATTTATACCAAAGGTGGGATGGCAGACAGACATCCTGTTGGTAAATAAGTTGATTAATTTTTACTAAAGGTTGGGATGGCAGACAGACATCCTGTTGGTAAATGAGTTGATTAATTTTTACTAAAGGTTGGGTGGCAGACAGACATCCTGTTGGTAAATGAGTTGATTAATTTTAACTAAAGGTGTGGTGAGAAGGATGTGAGAGCAGAATGTTCAGAAAGAATCCTGGCATTTTAACTTTATTATCAGTCATTTGTGTTTTATACTCTACTGAAATAGGATCCGAGTTTACACTTGTCTGATTTGTGATGAGCAAATCTGTTCTGACTGTATTATGGTGTCGTCTGATTTGTGTATGGAGACAGGGTACTAGATGTTGATCCTATTCATTTTAACTGCTATTATCAGTCATCACATGTTGAGGGAGATGCAGAAGATAGGATCCGAGTGCTTATGGACTTGTCTGATTTGTGATGAGCATGATCTGTCAGTTAACTAACTTATTATGGACTTGTCTGATTTGTGATGAGCATGATCTGTCAGTTAACTAACTTATTATGGACTTGTCTGATTTGTGATGAGCATGATCTGTCAGTTAACTAACTTATTATGGGCGCTAAGTCTGTGTTTTATGATTTCCTTGTTTGCATTGTTTCCATACTATTTCACCACCACATATTCATTTTAGACACAATTTTTCAAGCCCAAGAAATATATTGTGTTCGTTTTTTTTTTTTTTTTATGTTGCTTTTATAGATATTAGTTGTGTTTCCATTACTGGACATTGCAGAACCAACCTAGCATTTTGTGTGTGTGTGTGGCTGTTGCAGCTTTTCTAGGAAAATTTACATTCAGTAGTTTGTCATTGCTTTATGAAAATTCTTCTCTCCATACCACCGTCGAAACCAATGCAAGACAGTCTGCTGTCAAATCATCTGCAGCTGCAATTGAACCCAGCATAAAGTACATTCACAGTGCCAAGCCACGGACTCCGACCATTTGTATGGTCGTTTGTACTCATCTGCGTTAGTAGCTGCAGCATTGGGAATGGGCTTTGTAAGGTCAAATTATCAGGTTCAGTCCTAGCTGCAGGCTGTTTGGCAGGACACCGCCTTCAGTTGGTTTTCACAATGGTATTGAAAGCAGACCGTTCAGAAAGTAAGGGCACATTTTTTTAATGTAAATTTGCCTAGAAAAACAACAGCAAAAAAATGCTGGGGTTGGTTCTGCAAATCCTATAAAGGACAAGTCATTAACTTTAAAAAGAAATAATATTTATGTTAAATTTGGGGCACATGAACAGTGTGGATGCACAATTAGATTATCATCAATGATCAACAATTTTATTATTATATTAAATTATCAACAGTTAGATTATCTGAAGAGAATGGCTCTGCGAGGAATGACCGGGGGATGTGGCCGACACCCAACACTTAACGGAAATGACATAAGGATATACCATCAGACTGTTACTGGTGCCATCATTTGAACTCTGAGTTTGCTGCTGAAGATAGGGACAGAAGCTTATGGGAATGTCTTGAGTGCTGTGATCTTGATTCTTAATTCATCATTCAGCGCATGGTTATGGCAAGTTTGCCTAGTCAGTCCCGCTTGCATTAATACCCAAAAAAATGTTCCACATTTGAAGCATTGGGTGTGCGAACCATAAAAAAAAAATACATTGTTGGTATTTAACGTACATCTCAGACGCCCAGCCCTGTGCATGTCTACAATCATTTTCTCCTATATTCATTTTCTCTTTCTAATTTTCCCCTTTCATGCAGCATGGTCATGGTCATTCCTGTCCTCATGAACCACAGCCAGGCTCGAGCTGTAATAGCTCCCGTAGGACACGCATGAACTTACTTAATTAAGTATCTGTATCATTCATGTCCCGCTTGCACACATCTTTATATTACAGTAGAAGGCTGACCTCATCCTCTGAAGAGTTGACAAGCAGAAAATTTAAAAAAAAAGTTATATTGGTGATAAGCATTGAGATAAATACAGAATTTGTTAAAAAGATAAAGAGGAAATGGTCTTTTTCTTCACGTTCACTGGTTTTAACTCACCCCCCCCCCCCCTCTCCCAATTAACTCTTTGAGTCCCAAGGAACGCATCACACGTTCATAGGCTCCTACCTAGAAGCCCAATGAACGCATGATGCGCCGATTTTATTACTTTCTTTACTACCCCCTGGGCCTGTGATGCTAAACCCCCTGGGACTTAGAGAGTTAAAGCTCGAGATCCAAAGAATGCTTAAGTTGAATCCACCACTTCCTCCTATAGTTTCTGCACTACATTGTGCGCGAGTGTGTGTTTTCTTTCGGGGGGAGGGGGGGGTGAATGGGTACTACACCTCGCCGAGGGGTCTCCCAAAGACTAGTAGGAGGAGGGGGCGTCACACTTGCAAAAGACCAATACTTGCTTTTGATTATCTTTGAAATAGGTAACTGGTAACTATTTTCCGGAAGGGAAAGGGAGTGGAAGGTGTGCACGGTGACTATATAATATACTGGTCAACCACCGTAGTTATTGTCCATGTAGTATGACCACCGTCCACTTTCGCGAACTTGAGACAATTACCAACAATTGTCTTTCAGCGGCTCTGATTCTCAGTCCACCACCATCGCGTTATATTGTCATAATCAACGCCACAGCAAATTAGACATCTCCATAAGTACTCAGT